GACATTAAAAAATTTATCCAGGAAAACATTTTTGGTATCTGTCCTCACATGAAAGAAGACAATAAAGACTCGATCCAGGGCCAGGACTGACTTACGGCTTACTATGATGTGGACAATGAAAAGAATGCTAAAGGTTCCAACGACTGGAGAAACAGGGCGATGGTGGTGGCAAAGAAATTCCTGGATGCTGAGCATGAACTGAACTTTGCTGTAGCTAGCCGCAAAACCTTTAGCCGTGAACTTTCTGATTTGGGTTTGGAAAGCGCTGCCGGAGAGATTCCGCTGTTGCTATCAGAACTGCAAAAGGAGATAGGTTTGTCGTGCAGGAGACGTTCTCGCGTGATGGCAAGGCTCTTGAGAGGCTGCTGCAGGATTACTCTGATGGCAACCTGAAGAGATACCTGAAGTCTGAGCCTATTCCAGAAAGCAACGACCGGTCCGTAAAGGTAGCAGTAGCAGAGACTTTTGATGAAATAGCAAATGATGTAAATAAAGATGTGCTGATTGAATTTTAGGCTCCTTGGTGTGGCCACTGTAAGAATCTGGAGCCTCAGTATAAAGAAGTGGGAGAGAAGTTCAGAAAAGACCCAAAGAGCCAAGATGGGTGCCACAGCCAATGATGTGCCCTCTCCATATGAAGCCAGAGGTTTTCCTACCATCTACTTCTCTCCAGCCAATAAGAAGCTAGATCCAAAGAAATATGAAGGTAGCCGTGAACTAAGTGATTTTATCAGCTATCTACAGCAAGAGGATACAAACACGCCTATGATTCAAGAAGAGAAACCTAAGAAGAAGGCACAGGAGGATCTGTAAAGCAGCAGCCAAACGTACCACTTTGTAAAAGGACCAGAGCTGAGAAATCCACTGGGAGGACTGGGACCCAGATGAGATTATTACCTCTCAGGGCTGAGAGGACAGATGAATATTATCTGGATCCTGTTAAATGTTCTCTAAACTGTTTCTTAGCTGCACTGTTTATGGAACTTCCAGGACCAGTTTATGTTTGTGGTTTGGGGAAAAATTATTTGTGTTGGGGGGAATGTTGTGGGGGTGGGAATTGAGTTGGGGGGTTATTTTCTAAATTTTTTTTTTTTTTTGGTACATTTGGAACAGTGACAATAAATGAGCCCGTTTAAAAGAAAAAAGAAAAAGAAGAAGAAGTTGTTTCTGGAAGTGAAGGGAGAGAACCAAAATGGTATAGCACCAGAGACACTGAGGGAGAAGTATCTAGAAAGAAGGGGTAGGCAGCAGGGTCAAATGCTACAGCAACAGCAAGCAGAAAACAAGCCTCAAAATGGCCACTGGTGTGGTGGCTGGGAGAGCCTGAGTGGCCTGTAAAAGTGTGAGTCCTGCCTGTTGCCTCCCACAGCTGCAAGGTTGAGCTGCAATCCCAGGGATATGGACGCTGCTGGGTGGTGGTGGGGTGGGGTT